GACAACATGCAGTAATTTATAAATGTTTTAAATCAGGTCCAGATTAGCCAGCAGGCGGGTCAGATCCAGACCATCCTGCTGTAGCAGCATTTCTATTGGTCTGCATGGAGGTTAGCAACATTATTTATTGTTCAAAGTGTGCGTTAGAAGAGCTTGTATTGGGCTTGAAGTGAAGAGAATATAATCTGTGAAACATAATTTGAAAAGAATGCTATTTGTAAAAAATAATAAAACATATGAAATCTATTAGATCTGAAAAAAGTATTTAAAATATATATATTTTAAATATTTTAAACAACAACTTATGAGAAAACAGCAAAGTTACTCTTAAAATCTTTTTTGAATTCAAATATTTTTCAGCAGCAGCAGCAACCCAGACTGACAGCTCATTGGCTCATTTGGATCCCGTGCAGCCTGGAGCCGGACGCTCCCCAGGGCTTTACCGTATTAACAGGAGAAGCAGGGCAAGTGACATTTGGACACTGTCGTCGGACAACATGCGGTAATTTATAAATGTTTTAAATCAGATTGAGTCCGGATTAGCCAGCAGGTGGGTCCGGATCCGGACCCTGGTCCGCTAATCTGTGACCTCTGTGATAGACGCTCCTCTCCCTCTTCACACCTGCCTCCATTTTGTTATTTGCAACACGATAACATTCACTTGCACTGCTGACTGTTACCTTGACTGAAACAGTGATTTGCACTGCCAACTGTTTATTTACAGTATTAATTGTTTACATATACAGTTGTAAATACAGAATTACCTTCCACTGCACTTTAATTAGGAAAGCTTCTGTCCAAGTTTTAGTTTTATTTATTTATTTTGTAGTAATAGCATTGAATATTCTGCATCGCTGCTATTAAACTTCTTGTTAGACCTAAACTGCATTTCATTGCCTTTTACCTGTACCTGTGTAATGACAATAAAGTTGAATCTAATCTAATCTAATAAAACACATTTTTGTTTATCCCAGTTAGATCTTTATGTTACAGAATAGCATTTAGCTGCATGTTCTGGGTGTGTGTTTCTATGAGATCCAGTCTGGACGCCAATTTTTCCCCCCGTCTCTCAGATCAGTTGGTCTCCTTCGCACAGAGCAGCGTTTTCAACATGGAAAACATCCAGGAAATCAATAAATTCCTATCCTCAGCTTAGCTGTGAATCTCTGTAGCTCCTCCAGAGCTCCTACGAGCCCCCTGGCTGCTTTTTCAAATAAAAACTTCTTTTGTTTTTTACCTCTGTGGCATTAAGAGGTGAACGGCGAGCCCACTCGAACATATTCTCATAGACGTTTCCGTCATAACGGCCCAGGACTGAATTCAGCTTCTTGTCGTGGATGTCGAAGGCGTCGACCAGCGCCACGGCGTTGGGTCGCAGCTGAGAGAGAAGCTCTTTCACACGAACTGAAATCTGCAGGACCTGGGGGACACTCAGCAGTGCAGCCTGCAAGGAAAACAAAATACTGATCAGAATCTGTTTTATTTAGGCAAAAGTTTGGAAACACAACCACAGTCGGCTTTCCCCTCTATGGTCCGACGTCTTAAATATAAAAACTAAATATTTGTGGGAAGAATATGTCAGGTTTCTGTTATGTTTTTTTTTTTTTTTTGAGTATTCAGTCTTGCTTTACTCCTTGTTTTCTAGTGTTAGTGGTTTTATTTTTATTTTGCTGTGTTCTTTGTTTTTTTAGTCTGGGTTCTGTTATGTTTTCTTTTGAGTGTTTAGTTTTCTTTTCTCCATGTTTAATAATCCTAGTAATTTTATTATTATTTTGTTGTCATTTCCAGTCTTCCAGGTTTCTATTTGTTGCTCTCTGCTGCCCTCTTGTGTTCTCCTTCTTCCCTATCTCTTTCCCGCTCTTGTTCTGTGCACACCTGCTCCCAGTTTCCTCATTAGCCCCCTCTTTGTCTCAGTCTCCTTTAAAAGCCCTCTCTCTTCAGTTCCCCTTTGCTGGGTCCTCTTCATAAACCGTCTAACTTCATTAAACTTGCTCCAACTCCGTCTTCCAGAGTCTTCCTCGTTGAGATAGTGATTCCCCTGATGTCTCCATGGTTTCATTGTTAGTTTGGACTTTGTTTTCATTATTGGATTTTGGATAACCTGTCTTTGTTTTCAGTTTCCCTTTCATTAAATCTAAAAGAAATTCACCTCTGCCTTCCCGCCTCTGCTTTTGGGTCAACAATCCTTAACTAAATCCTGACAGAATAAGCTTAAATTTGTCTTTCTGTTCTTGGTAATGTGTATGCATACACACTGTTTTTATAGAAGAAGATGAGAAAGTCGAATTGAAGCAAATATTGTAGTATTGGCCTGGCTGTTATGTGCTGTTGAAGTTCATCTACACTGTCATTTAAAAAAAGGTGAAAAACAATCCACTGGACTTTGTTTCCAGGTTTAAAGACGTTTCTCTTCCATCCAGGAAGCTTTTTCAATTCAAAATGTCAGAAATAGCGTTTAGTTCCAGGTTTTATCCAGCAGCCCTACAAAGCCTTGTTTTAGTTTAGAAAACATGCAAATAGAAACGGCTGAACGGGTCCCCCCCTTTGGAATGGGGGTCGTTTAGCTTCTTTTGTTAGCCTGCAATGCCCCATACCTGTCTGTCTCTGAAAGGGGGGGTCATTAAAGGGAATTGTTGGCCTGGCTGAATAAGCGAGGTCTTCTGTTCCCTTGTAAAGGAGTTGGGGTTACGATGATAGACCCCCATTCCAAAGGGGTGGACCCATTCATCCATTTCAATTTGCATGTTTTCTAAACAAAATGTCTTCACACTTGGAAAGAAATTCAAAGGTAAAAGTCTAAACAACTCAGAATGTTTGCGATCCGCAGAGATGTTGGCTGCCCTTTTCCTGAACATAAAGCAGTACAAGTCCTGGATGGAGGGAAGGTCTACAGACCTGAACATCCGCTGCTGCGTCCAGTGGCTGAGCCAAAACACGTTACAGACTGATTAATGGCCACATTAAAGATGACCAAACAAAACAAAATGATCCAGATTTCCACCATAAAAGTTGACAGGAAGTATTTAGGAGCTTAGATTTAGACAAGATCAAACAGCTAACTGAGCAAATGGAGATGACAGGTTTCAACAGGCCGGTCTGCAGATATGAGAGCTTAACTTGCCTGCAGGAAGTCTCCAGAGTTCCTTGTGATTCCATGCATGGCGTAGAGCAGAGCCAGGGTGGACAGCACAGAGTGTATCGCTGTGTCGCCGACTCCTTTCAGCTTGTCATGGAAGACTTTCACCACAACATAGTGACAGTGGGCCTAAGGGGGGCAGACGGCAGGGAGAAAAATATGAGTTTCTACAGCAAAATGGATTTAGATCATTAACAACACGAATCTACACGTTAGGATTAAGAAAAAATAAACATCCTTTAAATTTATTTATTTATTTTTTTTTTTACAAATGAAAAGTGAATTTAGTGAATTTACTGTAACTGTAATGGAAATAAAACTTACATCAGAGGCTCTGACCAGGTCGATGGCGCTGTTGTTCCAGGCGTCCTCCTGGGACTTCCTGTGCTGCAGCTCCTGCTGGATGCTTCTGGCTGCCATCTCAACCAGACTATAAACACACAGAGAAAACCTCCATCACAGACTGTGGGTTGCTCTTATAAACTTCACACAGATGTAGGGGTTTAGATCACATCCATCATAGCGATTCAATTCAGTATCAACTTCCTGAACCAATGATTCGATTATTCTCCATACTCAAGAATACACTGATTCGATGAATTGGTTAAATTTTTTTCTACTTTACAGGCTAAACAATTTTTCAAATTTGAAATAAATCAATGAAAGCTGTAATATCGTTATGCATTTTATTT